CCGAACGGCAGGCGCACATTGATGAGTTTTCACTCACCTCTCGTGCCGAACGGCAGGCGCACATTGATGAGTTCTCACTCACCTCTTATGCCGAACGGCAGGCGCATATGGATGAGTTTTCACTCACCTCTCGTGCCGAATAGTAGGCGCACATTGATGAGTTTTCACTCACTTCTTGTGCCGAACGGTAGGCGCACATTGTTGAGTTTTCACCCACCTCTCGTGCTGAACGGCAGGTGTTCCTAAAACAAGACTTCCACCTCTCGGAACAATCGGTACATCATGCCGTCTCTTTTCCAAGCTCACTCGCTCGGGCACTTGGGGGACTACATGCCACCATCGGCAACAATGAGACCATCGAGTCCGGATCAGAATGCCGAAGACAGATTCAAGTCCCCAACCGAGAAGCTTCTCAATCGGTAACTTGGGGGACTACTGTTTGTACCATATCTGATCCTCCACTCATCAATTGACACGTGGATCACTTAAACTCCCCAAGTTCCCAAGGCTCCAAACAATCAGCATCGGCTACCGATGGTATTGTCTCAAAACAGCAAAAGGTCACTACAGGCCCAGCACAGTCTACAATCGGTATTCCCTACCGATTCTGCAGAATCAACCTCGAAGTACCTACCCGAAATATCTAAGGACTCGTGTCAACCTCATAGGGCCCTCCCACGAGTCCCACATCGAAATTAAGTACTAAGAGCATGCAAAATCCCCTCTATAAATAGGCCTATTCACTACAATACAAGGGTAAGACTTTTTCAGCTTGACTTTTATACTAATATATTGTCAATAGCGAAAGCTCTTAGAAAACAAACTTACTCCAGCACAGTCTACAATCGGTATTCCCTACCGATTCTGCAGAATCAACCTCGAAGTACCCGCCCGAAATATCTAAGGACTCGTGTCAACCTCATAGGGCCCTCCCATGAGTCCCACATCGAAATTAAGTACTAAGAGCATGCACAATCCCCTCTATAAATAGGCCCCTTCACTACAATACAGGGGTAAGACTTTTTCAGCTTGACTTTTATACTAATATATTGTCAACAGCGAAAGGTCTTAGAAAACAAACTTACCTTAGCATCGGAGGGTCTTAGGCTGGTTCCACACCGGTTCCATAGACTTCACGAATCTCGTCTTCCTTCCATTCAGGATCAGCATCTGAGGACAGGAAGAACCTGCATCCAACACTCAATCGATCTCTCGATCGTCCATATCACTTGTAAGTTGCACTCATCTCTATCTGTTCAGTTTTGGTGCCAACAAAGTTCACTTGGGAGTATACAATCAATTTGCTGCCACATAACATGGAATTTCTCATGGGACACATTCATGGGCTCACCATTTTGACATGTGGTCACAGATTGTCTTCGAAGTTGAAACAAACAAGAACTATTATGAGTAACAATATAGGTTTTCTGGGCAGGATCCCAGACATCACTAGCAATATGACCCTTGAAGTTAAAAGATATCTTAATGAAGATGGAAGATGGAAGATGGAAGATGCAATCTGTGTTTTTGAACTTGCAATATGGAATCTATGTTTTTGCACTTGCAATGTGTTTTGGAACTTGCAAATTGTATTTTGGAACATATGGTTTATGCTGTCTTGGAACTTAATGTATACACTTTGTTTTGGAAATTAATGGTTTGTACACATGTTTATTTTGTTTTGGAACTTAATTTGTGTTCTTAATGGATAAGTGTAATCTTTGTTTTGCCTAATTTGGTTCAGTAAATGCTAGCAGAGAAGTTACACTAATTTGCACCACTTCATAACATCATCAACACTAAATTACAAGGTAGAGAAGTTATATGACAAATTTCACTAAACAAACCTTCTAAAACACATTTCATAATTCAAACATGCTTCATCACAACAAACATAAACAAGAAAAACAACACAACCACACACATATTTCTTGATTTTTCTCGACTTTTTGTATTTTCCTTTTCCAATCTATCAATCTTTCTAAGCAACCAAAGTATCACCATCTTTGAACATTCAAAAATTTTAGGAGCATTCCTACCTTCAACTTTGGACAGACTAAATCTCCTTCCCGGGTTAGAATTAGTCCATGAAGTCTGAATCCTTGCCAACTGTAGGGGTCTTTTTATTCCAGTAGCCTGACGAATGAGCTTGGGCTGTCGTAAAGAAAGGACAAATAAGGTTGCCCCTGTATCTAAGTTCAAGGACCAAGCTCCAAGAGAGTTTTGAAAAGTTTGTGAAAACCTTAGAAAACACCTTGGATTCTTCTCACCAATAAACTAGATGAATGTGACAGATTAGCAATAGTATGACTTGGCTTGAGGAGCTTGTGGCATGGGAGCTAAGCCTTCACGAGTTTAGCAATTGAGAGAGACGAAAGCTTGAACTTCTTATAGAAACTAAGGTTCAAAATGGGGGAAGAAGAGAATTAGGAGGATTTCTGCCTAAGGAAGAGAGGAAGAGAGGAAGAGATGAAAGTAGAAGATAGGGTGTCTTGAGTAAATTCCCAGCCGCTTGAAAAAAGCTTGGTCGTGCTCTGGATGATCGTGTGTTTGCTGGGTAGAAGCAACTCCCTTTTATAAGCACTAGAACCCTCAATTTTATCACAACCTCCTTCTTCCTTTTCCTTCACTTCCTTCCATTCACTCTTATTTGGTGAAATTTCCCCAACCAGAGCGCATAGGTACCAAGTCCTTTGAGGTTCCAAGATCTTTACTTAGCTGGACTTCTTCATGTGGGTGAGGCACCGCCCACTTTTCTTCTTGGTTTTCCTATTAGAGCTTGCAAAGGAAAGGAGAATAGATAGAGCGTTTGCCTAACGGGTATTCCTCCTACACGTATGAATTTCCTTTGGTTTTTGCAATGGCTTATATTTGACTCTGTTATAAAGCTTTGACAAGGGCTGAACATGATGCTAGATATTTTATTAGGTACTAAGTTGTGCTTTTCCTAAGGCATTGGGTCATTGACATCTTATTTCCAGCAGTCAGCTAAGTCTTCTATGGTTTCGTCAAGCTGTTGAAAGTAGCTTATTTGCTCTACTTTTTGACAAGATGTTGGATACCTTAGTTGATGTGGGGCTTTCCTAAATGTTGCAGACCATTACATATTCTCCTAAGGCATTGGGCCACCTTTTTTTTTTCTCTCTCTCTCTATTGCTTATCCATGTGTTTGGGCCCAAGAAATGGGCTTGAGTTTTGGTGCTCCCAAGTAGCCCAAAACTTCCATCCCTTGAACCCTCAATGGTCCTCGTGAGTGCTCGTACCCATCCATACCACAACCTTCTCAACAAGCCCCAGATATTCATGTGGCTTGGGCCCACTTGAGCCTGTAGCTTGGCATTAGAATAACGATCTTTTTGCTTGGCATTGCGTGTTTATTTGGCATGTTTATGCTTGAGTTCCATGGTGTGGTAATAGGTTGTGACCGGGCCAAATAGCACTTAACAGGTTAGTGAGTGTGGGTTTACGGAGCCGGTATGTTTTACTAGCTCATGTTGACCCCTCTGCGTGGCGGGTTTGCGTGTTTGCTTGGCGTGGCACATGACCCACAACTTGTACCAGCGCTTCTGACAAATTCTCATATATCCTAGTTGGGCTTCTCTCACAGTTAAATATTGCGCTAGGCTAGAATTAAGCCTGGGCCCAGCCTTGGATTTTTGGGCATTAACACCAACTTTCCACAATGACACCAATGCCTTCCTTTTCCAATCTCCATCTATTCTTCGATGAACTAGCGCGCCTTCAATATCAACTAATTAAACATGCGTAACTTCAATAGCAGCAATGAAGACCCAAATTTTGCTCCCCTTGTCGTCAATTGATGCCAACCTTCAATTCTTAGGGCATTGAATCAGCTACTTAGGGAAAAATTAGGGAAATATGGTCAACTTTTGCGGATATATAACCAAAGTACTTGAAATGTTGTAGTTAACAAATATACCCACATTTTTCTACCATGTGGCTACCACATAAGCAAAGATAACAATTTATGTGACGAAATGACAGAAAAGGGGAACGTTGGATGCAAAAGCAAGGCACATGGAGCATATCAATAACTAAGTCTTAGTGCATGTTTGGCATTGCTTATTTGGGATGATAAGTGATTTTTTAAAATTTTTGGGAAGCCTAGCTCGTTTGCTAAACCATGAGAAAATCACTTGTTAAAATTGCTGTGAGAAAAAGCTATAAGGGACATGGGGTGCTTTCATTTTTTGATTATGCGGGAATCAGTTTCGAAGAGGTGCTAGGTTTAATGATTATGCGAGAATTAGTATCAATAACACTTTTAACAAAAAGTTTACCAAATGCCAAACTACTTTCTCTCATAGCTGATTTCTCTCACAGCAAATTTGACAGCGATTATTTTCACAGCACAACAATGCCAAACTTTTATCTTCTATATTCTTCTTTTGTTTTCAAATTTTGAAATATTTTTGGTTAAAATATTCATGAAAGAAAATCATGATGGTATAAACGAAAATTAACTTAAGAAAAATTAGACACAAAAAAAACTTAAGAGTTGAATCATTCTTGAGGGAAAAAAACTGTTTGAGTTCGGGGTATATATGAATGGTTGTATTTTGGAGGGCGAAAATTTTAGCATCGGAGATTCGGAGATGGCAGCAAAAGTAAAATTCAAAATCTTTAGGGGTGGATACTGAAAACCGAACTTCATTCTAATTGTTATCCCGCGTAGGCGTAGCATATAAGCCAGTCTCGCAGATAATAAAGTGGGAGTGTAGTGTGACACATTACACAACAGAGACACTGCTACACCCGCTTTCTCTCTCTCTCTCTCTCTCTCTCTAAATTTTCTGCAAAATTTGGGGATCTAACGATGAATCGGCACCACGACCCCAACCCATTTGACGAAGAAGTGGTCGAGGTCGAGGTCAATCCCTTTTCGGTAATTACAGCCAACACCTTTTCTCTTTCTCCATTTTTAACTGTTTTGTTCTTCTTCTTCTTCCTGTTTAGATCTGCCCTCTATTTCAGTTGTAATTTGAATTCCTGGATGTTGGGTTTTTTTTCGGATCTGGATCTGAACCCTAGGTTTTCAATATTCCGACACTAAAGTGAATGTTTTTTTTTATAAAAAATTTGAAACAATTATATGTAACCTATAAAATGGAGTTGAGAATTTGAAATAACATGTGGGTTTGCAGTCTTACTCTCTTAATGACAGTAGAAACAGAGCCAATGCTCACTATGCAAGAGTCCCTAGCTTAGAGCAAATTTAATATGTTGAAATCCAGTCTTAATTTCGAGTTAAAATGCTTAAGAAATCTTAAATGAGTTAGGTTTTTACTTCTGTTAATTTGAATGAACATTGAAAATTTAATCAGAAGTTGAAAAGTTATACCTCATTCACTTCAAAGTCAGCTTTGCGGAAAAAAAAGAAGAAGATGAATTTGGGATACATTTCTCAACATATTCATTAAAATTAAAAATTATACAATGTCCTGGTCAATTTGGAAGAGAGGTATAATGTACAGCTTAGCGATTGATGTTTGGTTTTGAAGCTTTCTAACGTTTTCAGGCAGTAAGTTAATTAATTTTCAGTTAAAGAGTATTTTTTGTTTTATACTCTTGTGTTTTTTTCTTTTCTTTGAAAATTGTCTATCACTGAGTCCCCTTCCCCCTTTTACCAAATGTTGTCCCTTTACATTGTTCTGGCCTTCTCATTCTACTGTTTTAGTGTATTTAATCTTTTGCATTTTTCCCATAATGTATTTATTTAAGGGAGATTCACTATTATACCCATTATAGGAGCCCAAATTATAAAAATACCCTGTATGAAATCTTAGAAACACACCCAAAGCCCATTTACAACATAACAAAAAGACTTTTAACTTGTTTTAAATTACAAAAGTGCCATTAATTTCTTAAAACAAACCCAACCCCAAAACCTCATAAACAAGCCCAAAACACTCAACAGGGCATCAAAGTAATTTAATAATCAAAATTAAATTCAATAGGGCCAGCTGTCATTTTTTGGGTTTTTTTTGGGTTTGTTTATAGAAATTAAATGGTATAGGGTTTATTTATAGTTTTAGTGCTAAGAATGGGTATATGACTAAATATCTCTTTATTTAATAACCTAGTTATGATTTTTATTATTGACGGGAAAAACCTCCCAACCTTAATATCAACATAATAGTCTTCATGAATTATAGATTTGTACATATTCTGAGAGTTTAAAGAACGTTTCTCATTAACGTGTACAGAGTTCAAGCTATCTTGATTTTTTTTTATGTCATTTGATTTTGAACCTCTGCTAAACATTTATGAAACCATGATGGTTGACCATTTCAGTGATGCAACATGATATATTAATGGTGAATTGGAGTTGTTTAACTTGCTTCCAAAAGGTTAATTGGAATGGTGAGGGTTGCTAATGCAGTGCTTTGTGCGTCCCTCGCATCTTTATGAAGTCTCAGTTCTTTGTACATGGGCATTTTAGAAGTTATAAATCCTATTCCATGTCTTTGTGCATAAGCTATTTGATTGTCAGGCTGCTTTTAGATGCAAATAAGCAAAGTTAAAGTCATGTTGCCACTACATTGTGTGGTGCAATTTGCATTTTCTAGGATACCATACAAAATCACTTTTGGATTTTAAGCCATACGGCTTCATGGTTAAGGCATGCTTATCAAGACTAGTAAAAAGCTTAGTTGATATGTATTTTTCTTTTCCTTATAGAAATGTTCTAAATATGCCATAATTTGAGAACTTTGCAGAATGGTGCTGGTGCTCCCAAGTCAAAGTCACGTGTTCCACCATTGGCATCTGAACCTCTGGGTTTTGGGCAGAAGCATGATGCAACAGTCGATATACCATTGGATACAATGAATGTAATGTAGTTTCTTTTTCCTATACTATTTTTCTCTACTTATTTAGCTTGGTTACGTATTGTTCGGTATGTATCTACAGGATTCTAAGAAAAAGGCAAAAGAGCTTGCAACTTGGGAAGCAGATCTCAAGAGGAGAGAAAAGGTTAATTGTATAAATTTTATGAGTGATTACTTATCTATAGGTCTGCCTTTATTGTAAATCTTTTAAACTGGAGTTTATTGCATTACGAATCTATAAATTGCGCGCATATCTGAAATGTTTCCTGTAATAATCTCTCATTTGTGCTATTCCTTAGTATCTCTCAAGTGTGCTGCTTAATGTGTTCCTATATTTTGTTTTTAATAGTGTTTGTATTTACATTTAACTTTTACAGGATATTAAACGGAGAGAAGATTCTGTTGCAAAAGGTAAGCACTATGAATATGCAGCCTAAACTATTAGTAATTTGGGTTTTTTGTTGGCTTTTCTTAAATTATGAGTAATTACTTTTTCCTTCTACTTTGTGAATCAGCTGGTGTCCCCGCTGATGATAGAAATTGGCCTCCATTTTTTCCACTTATTCACCATGATATAGCTAATGAAATACCAGTACATGCTCAAAGGCTACAATATCTGGCTTTTGCAAGTTGGCTAGGTAATGGAAGTTTATTATGCAAATGTGTTGCTATGCAGTTTTACTTGTATTATTTCCAAGTGTTAAGGTTGCCTTCTTTCGGTGTGCCCATATGATTGCTTTTCATAACCAGCCTTTTGGTTCTTTTATTCAGAAAAATGGAAACTGATTGATCAAATGGATGTAGCATTAAATTTTTTCTACATGTATTTTCTGCCATCAGTTTCTACGTGTCGTGCCCAGAAATACATATCCTTCTGATCCAAATAGCACACTTTTTTTTTGTTGCAAGACTGATTATCACATTTTATTTGATCAAAATAAAGGGAAAGCTCAAGAATAATTTATTTGTTGGAAATTTTTTGACCTAATTATATAATTCTGATCTAAAGTTAAATTGTAAATAGAAATTGCACTCTTTTCTTCAAATAATTATATTTTAATAGAGTCAAAAAACGATATATGAAGAGACAGCTCCAAATTTGTTAACTGAAAGAATTCTTGTTAAGTTATTATTAATAAATAAGGTTATTAATGGATATTCTTACTTTTTAGAAGGATATTCTTTTGTTTTCATTGGAATTATATATAACAAAAGTATATTAGAATTATTTTCAATAGAGATGAGGAAAAGTTATTTAAAAAAATCAGTGGAGATTAACTTAGGGCATTATGAATGTGGAAAAATATTTCAGATAGTCTGGTAAAATTTAGGACTTGTCTTTTTGAGAGGGAAATGGGCCATTGTGTACCAGGACACACCCTCATTTTTGGTTATGCTAACATGTTTTCATTATTAAGGACCTCATAGTTAGGGGTGGGCATCAATCTGGCCGAACCGATGAAACTGGCTGATCCAAACTGTAATTACCAGTTTGGTTTGGTTTTGACCAAGAAAAAGTCAAATGGTTTAAAAACCCAAATGGACCATATATGGTTTGGTTTTCACCTTTTGTAAACCGACCTAAACCAAACCGGACCGTTTATGTGTATATTCATTTATTTATATTTTATTTTACATGTGTAATACTCTAATTAGATAATAACTATATATGGATATTTGTATTAAGATTAGTTATGAAATTTAAAGTTTTATGGCATGTTGAGCTTTAGGATGGTTTTGTACTCTAGAAAATGATTGAAGTATGGAGCAAGTTGTGAATTTGTGGGGTTGTAATTGGGTTAACAATGTTGAAAAAATGCAAAAGAAAAGAGAATTGGGCTTAGGCCTAAACCGGCTGAACCAAACCAAACTATCTTAAATTGGTTTGGTTTCCTTCATGAATTTTGTCAAAGCCGAACCAAACCAAACCATTATATTGTAATTGGTTTGGCCGTGGCTTTGAGGTGAAACCGATCCAATTTGGACTGTGCCCACCCTACTCATATTAATGTTATATAGCAATATATTATGCCTTGTTTTTTGTTTTTAAATATATTTTGGTAATGCATGTAAATAGCAGGATGATATGCCCGTCTAATACTTAATAATATTTTCTTTGCAGGCATAGTTCTTTGCCTATCTTTTAACGCAATTGCTGTTATTGTTTGTTGGATTAGAGGCGGAGGTAAGCTTTTCAAAGCTTTACAAAGTGATGTTTCATTATTTGTAGATTATATGTAGGATTAGCTCTTTGTCTATGATGCTAATTAGAGCTTCTGATGATGTTCATAAACTGCAGGTGTTAAAATATTTTTGCTTGCAACGATCTATGCTCTACTTGGATGCCCTCTTTCATATGTTCTGTGGTACAGGCCTCTCTATCGTGCAATGAGGTAAATATTTAAAGAGGGATTTGTTTCTAGTTTCTAGATAAATATAGGATTTGTAGTTCATCCGGAGCTCACAGAGAAGCTGCTTGTTAGCATAGAACTTTTGGCACTACATAGAAATATTTGTCAGAAATATCATGGATCATAGGCATAGCTAAGACAAGCTAATAACCAGATATAAAAGAATAAGCATTTGCATGTCTCACAAAATTATCTTTGTCTTCACTGCTTGTGCTGATTGTTGAGGGGTATTTTTTCCAACTTGCAGGACAGATAGTGCCTTTAAGTTTGGTTGGTTTTTCCTGTTCTACATGGTATGTACTGATACTGTATCCTTTTGAATTCTTACTGCTTAGCTTATTGATCTGATTTGTAATCAATTTCATGAGGCAGCTCCATATTGGGTTTTGCATTTTTGCGGCGATAGCTCCTCCAATTGTCTTTAATGGGAGATCATTGACGTAAGTTCTTCCCTTTACTTTTTTGTTTGTGTCTTTGTTTCTTGAGTATAATTTTCTATAGTAAGATGGTTGGCAAATGATAATTTAGCATGGAACTTACTACCAAGTCAAAGTACATTTTGACAAGCCATCCGTAAAAGGAAATTTCTTGGCTCATTAGCTGCTGCATTAAACCCATGTTTAGCAATTGGAAGTGTAAAACTAATAACTTATGCATAGGTACATTTGCTAATGTATATTTTCTTTCAAATTTCATTTCCTGTTGTCATATTGTTGATTGATTTGAAGTAAGGGAAGAAAGTAACTTCTGCAGTTTGTCATTTGAAATTTGTTTGTAACCATTTTCATATTTAACTAAATATATTTTTTTGAATTTTTACCTTGGTGGAATGGCAAGCCTGGAGAGAAGTTACAACAGTTCAATTTCTGGTGGATTTTAAGTTATTAATAAGTTTCTTTTTCTTACTAAATTACATAGATTTGTTTCATTGAGTATGATTCTTTTCATGCTGTTTAACTGAACCAGTATATTTTCTTCCTTTATATTGATGTTGTTTCCTACTTTTTTGGTTTTTTTTTTCCAAAAAATACAGGGGCATTCTTCCGGCAATTGATGTCTTCTCAGACCATGTGGTGGTAGGGGTAAGTTTGTAAACATGCCTGTATCTGTCTTTCATCAGCTTCAAAAGTGTGCATGTTAACTTATATAATGCCTGCTAGAGGCTGAGTTGCCCTGAGAAGCGTGTGTGTGTTTTCTCCTGTTATTTTTTGTTCATTTGATTTTATAACTCTCTGCAGAGTATTAATAAATAACAGATTTTATGATTATGTTCTTAGAAGAATGTTGTTGGAAATATAGTGTTTCTTTTATTTTCATGCCCATCATCCTAGTATGTTTAGTTTTTATTACAACTTCTAAAGTTTAAGGAACAGAGTAGACAATATTAGTTAAAAGCTTGTTACATAATACATACGTAGAGCTGTTTATAATACATTCAAGATACGAAACAGCAAACTTTTATGAAGAATTTGGACTACATTTAATCAGGAAAAAAAGAAGAAAAAGGAACAAGCATGATCTAAATCATGAAGTAGGTCGAGAAAGAAATACAAAGATGTCTGCTGGTTTTTTGTGGAAATCAAAACTTAAGCTTGCTTTCGTATCTTTGGCGTGTCTTCACTTTTGACTCCAAATTAATGTGTCTTCTTCCCCAAAATACTCTTAACAAATGAACCAGTAACCACCTTCTCCGATGATCTAAACTGGAAGAAAAGATAAAAACAAGCGTGATACGTACAATGAACTTGACTCACTTCAAAAAGATTCCATTTTCAAAGTTCTCAATGCTATGCAAAGAATTCAGAATATCAGATTGTTGTAAAACCTTTGTTTGCTTAGCATGGCTGGATAGTCATAAATTTGTGCTATGCATTGACGAGGTACTGTAACAAGTTTGGTAAAAGAATATGTGCGCTTTTAATGTGGGATACATCCCTTGTGCCTCTTACTTACGTGTAGAAAGACTCTTAAGACAGAACAGTGAAGGTGTATTTGTTTGTCCAGAAAAAGGAAAAAAGGTTTATTAGTTGGTGAGGAGATATTCATCATGATTTGGATTTCAGATGACCAAATTGTGTGAATGTTTGGGTTATAATATTATAAGATTACTAATATTATTTTGCCTTTTTTTTTCTTTGTGCAGATATTCTACTTAGCTGGGTTTGCCTTGTTTTGCTTAGAAACCCTTCTAAGCTTTTGGGTACTTCAGGTGAGATACAGAGTTTGCTATACACTTTAAAATTTTAGTATTATCTTCTTTAGATGTGTAGGAAATGCTTTTGGTGGCTCACAAAGAGATGCACTTAAGTAATCTGTAGATTTGGAAACTACTCTTAGTTTATGGAGACCACAGTGATTGTTCCTTGAAAGTGGTTTGTGCCCTGATATTTTGCCTCCACCAAATTTAGTCTGTAGTTGGAAACTTGGAATCAGACAATTATTTTAAGCTAAATTGATACTTATTATTTCCCTTGATCTCTGCCACAACAAAGTGGTTGCTGAGATCACCTGAGGGTAATAATGAGTGAAAAGCAAATAACTTTCCTGTATTAAACTGATACTTGCAAGTTATAATTTATATGATTTGGATGAGATTTAGTAAATGGAAATAGATTATTTATTAATTATCTAGTTAACACAAGAAACACAATTTATCACTCACTTTCACCATATCGCCTTTTCAAAGATTGGAATTTCCTTACTAGTCTGAATGATTTTTTTTTCTTTTTGGGGCCTAGTCAGAATGAAGTCATTGTTTACATGGTATTTATCCTTAATATATATATGATTGTCTTTTTCCTCTTTGGTTTGTGCAGAAAGTATACATGTATTTCAGGGGGAACAAGTGAGATTTGATCCTGGGGTCGTGTCCAATTGGGATTCAGAGTTATGTTGTTCTTTTCGAGTGATTTTAGTATATTCTTCTGCGGCCTATTATTATGTTGCATTTCTTTGTGATAATTGCATTGCATGAGTAAGTAGAAGAATGATTTGTAAGATAAATATATATGACATAGGATGTATTGTTCTGCTCTAAACTCAAAGTCTGTCTATTCCCACCATTTCCTCATCAAACTACCTAGTCTTATAATTGCTTGCTTTGTTATATATTCATGTTCATCCAACTACCTGTGCAAAAGCCACAGCGAACATTATGAAAAATATATATTCTAGACACAAAAGCTCTTTGAGATGGGCAACTGCAGGCTCGTTTGGGACGGCTTCTACAAGTATTCATGCTGCTAAAAATCTGGTGCTTCCAGTTCTATAAAATCATTTATGCTCAAAAGCACTTTCAAAATCTGGAGCTTCCAGTTGATAAAGACGATGTCGAGTTTGATTCACCTCAATCATAACTTTGGGCTCTAACAACTGGAAGGCCAGCACCCTTTCATTTCGTTGGAGCTTTCTGAATGAAAAAGGATCTACACCCAAAATAACAAAAAAAAAAAAACACCTGCAAATGTGTTAAGAGCCAGGGGTTTGATGAATTAGAACTTCTTGGACATATAGCAGGAGTGGATTATTTTCTGTTCCAAAACCTTAAATCATGGTAACTTGTGATGTCACCTAAATAAAAATTAAATTGGGAAACTGGTTAAATGACCAGACCCAACAAACAAACAGTAGTGTTCATCAACGATCTTTAAAAAAAATAATAATAAAAGAACTGCAGAAAGTTTATGAATGGAAGGACTTTGTATAAGAGTGCTGTTAAACGAACCCTAAAATTAATTGAGTACACCTTACTATTAAACTATTTATTGAACTATTAATTTATCATAATATAAAATGACCAAAAAGATAAAATAATATTGGTATTTATTATTTTGAATCCATGCCTTCAAACAAATTGACTTAATTTTTAACAAACAACACGGAATCCATGAGAAGTGTATTGATCCAAGTTGATTTTTTTATGCATAAAACTTAACAATCAATAACACAAACCAATTCATGCTGAAATATTGGAAACCCACACCCAAAGAGTTCTCCGCTGCAAGGTTGGAGGCTAGGACAGTCTGAGACTGCCATGGTTGAGGGAGAAGAAGCGTTCAAAATGCCTATTGATATTTTACATTATTTTCCATACGAGTTAACAGTGTTTGTGTATTGTTAAAGGTGGAGAGACGTGTCAAAATTTTAGATAAAGGACATGAGGAGACAAGGAATTTGGGGACATCAGATCTCAACTCCCCTGAGATCCTATTCTCTACGCCATCCCCCTTAACAACCCTAGTCACCATTTCTACTTCAACTCCAATGGCAACTCATTAAAACCCAATTTTCAAATGCAACAATCTAATCCCAATCCCAATTCAGATGTTTCCAAAAAACACATGGTGGTCGTGGTGGAGAACTGCAATTCCAGGTGGTGGTGGTCTCACATGAGAGAGAGAAAAGAAGAAGAAGAAGCAAGAGAGAGAGAGAGAGAGAGAGAGAGAGAGAGAGAGAGAGTATTTTGTCAAAATATTATTTTATTATTATTTTACTGTAATTTTTTATTTTAAATACTTTAAAAGATTAAAAATTAAAGGTGTACCATGGGAATTTTTGGTAGTTAAATAGGGTGTACTTAGTTAATTTTACATTTTAATTTAAATATTAGGGTGTACTTAGCTCATAGGGTGTACTCAGTTAATTTTAGGGTTCGTTTAGCAGCACTCTTGTATAATTAATGTATTTATTTTGGTTAATTTTCACACAATATTCCAATTGTTTACAAGGAACGCACACTTTATAAGAAATAGAAGTGTATATGTATGCTTGGTCAATTCATACGACACCAACATTATTTGAATATATATGCTTTCTGGCTTCAAATAACCTGGTGAGTTTATTAGTATATAATATTCATGCGAAAACAGTGTTATTTGAATGAGAATGTTAATTTCTTTTTTGCTAACTAATATTGTATGTTATATTGTCGTATTATCCATTGACTTATTTCTTAGGTTTATTTTTAATTTGAATGCATGATCCGAGTTGTTAGTTGGATGCCAAAGGATGTCAAATTGTCTAGCAAGACATCATATTATTTAGACTTGTTGATGCTCAAAAATGGTTCGACACTTAACTTAGTGATGTCTAAACCTTCGGTACTTTCTGGGCCTCGATAGAGCGATCGATCAGCAAGATAGAAAACGCTCAGTAAGCCTTTGGGCACCGGTGTGGTACCGGTCGAAGGCTCTCCAATGCTTAAGTGAGAATAAGTACAGAGTATATAGTAATATGGACAAAGTAATGATTGAATTGCCGAAAGTCTCAGTTACCTCCTTTTTGGGACTTGTGCCCACTTTTATAAGTCTTGAGAGGTGTGCAAATTGAGTGAAACTTCGATGTGGGACTATGGATATTGCCTGTGGTGGCTCCATGTGTCCCAACAAGAAATGACTGGCAAGGGGTCTTGTATTGCGTTCGGTAGTAACGGGTGCTGAACACTCCTTACAGATAGCGTCTTACTTTCCACGTGTGATCTTCTCATTGGTCGATTATATAGGGTATAAACAGGAGTCCCCCAAGTTCCCATATGAGAGAATCTTCTTAGTTGGGGACTTTCTTTTATCATCGGTACCCTAATCAACCGGAGTTTTGTTTAAGAGGCGTTGCTCGGTATAGGATGCTTCAACAATCCATGGTATTCCGTTTGGTGCCCTTTCCCCTTTGGGGTAGGCGTTTCATTGGCAGTGTTGGTGTTTTCGTATGAAATTGTATTCCTGGCCTTTCAAGGGCCATTAGAGTACGCGCTGTACGGTAAAAGTGATCTCCATAATGGTAAGGCGTATTGGGTCTGCGCTTTTGGCATGATGAATACCTTGTGCCAAACAGTAGTTTTTCAAAATCTTCCAAATGTTTACGTGGATAACAAGACCCTTAGCCTTCTGTGTGTGGCGTGCGCGTAGGGAAGCGGAATCGAGAGCATAGGATGACGCTTAGTCTTTTGTGCATGGTGTGCAAGTTGCTACCGCACATTATTGGTGCCACGTGTCGTGGGCACGCGTGCTGAACAAAATAATGATGGCCTCGGTTGCGTTATCGAGGTGAACCGGTTGGTTCCTTCAGTATAAAAGGGGGTGCGATTTCGGATTTGGAGGTCACTAGTGTTATGAGAGCCATTTGCAAATTTGTGAAGAGGCGATTTCCGGCGAGCATTCTTGGGCAAGAAGGCGATTTTCGGCGACTGTTCACACGGCAGAGCGATTTTCGATGACTTCATCAACCGGAAAAAACAAGGTACGCTGCTTTCTTAGCTTTCTTTTTCGATCAAATGAACCTTTTTGGCTTAAACTAGACTATGAGCACGTATGATCACGAAAAAACGTTCGGTAGTCTAGTTGCCACAGGTAGCGATAGCCATAGGACTCCATAGTTTGATCTTGCATGGCATTTAGTTTCCCTTTCATTTCTATTTGTAGATGTCCGATAGCGAGTCACCGTATGATAATGAAGCTAACGCGTTCGATGAAGAATCATCGCACGATAAGAGAGATACCGATAGTGAGGCAATGGGCTTTAAAAGTGCCGAGAGTGAAAATGCCAAAGTTAAGGTCATTGAGGAGAGGGCCAAGGCTGTGCCCTCGGTCGACAGAGAAAGTGTTCGTCCAACGAATGGGGCGATACCATTGCCTGTAGTAGCGTGCGGCGTCGGCTGCGCTAGCACAAGCCAATATTACGAATTCCTAATGAGGGATACGCTAGTGCCCGATCGGCATGTTAGCTATCATTCGAAGGCCTCCACAACTGGTCGTGGGGATGCCGCTGCCAAATCATCTTCTTGGCTAGTCGTCATCGTGGTTCAGCAAGGGAACCCTAGGGTGTCGATGAGTCAACCCAAGGAGCTTTTATTCAGGGTTGACTATTTAGAACTGAATAAAATTACCGAAGTAGAGCTAGCAAAGTATCATGCCGAATACCAGATCCCGGATTCGGTGAATTGGAGGATTCTTGGGCTCACCGAAAGGATGGTGAAATGGCTTCTTTATGGACATCCTCAAGTTAGGGGTTCGGTTGTTGTTGCAATCTCCCATTCAGAGGATCCTGGCCCATCTCGGGTATGCTCCTGGTTAGTATAACCCGAACTTTTGGGTTGCCTTGATGGGGACCATAACAACGTTCGGCCTTGTTGAGGAGTGGGAGCCGACCTATGAGTAATTCTCCTATAGCATCACCCAATCTAAGTGCACAGGCCATGGAGGATGGGTCCAAGCAAACTGCCTCCAGGCTTCTGTCTGAGGGCATTTCGTGAGGGCCGTACCGACTTCTCAAAAGTTATGGAGGAATTGGTGGGTGCTTCTATCCGGCGATTGGGAATCGCCTCCTGATAGGCCCCTTCGGTTTCATATCCCTACTACCATTCAGTTAGTTGATAGGTCATTAAGGTACCATTCGGTAGGTCATGTGCTTTTTAGTTTTTCTTGCCGAAAGTAATATGTGTTGTCTTCTTTTACAGGCAAATTGAAGCAGCTGATCCCTACCAAGGGGAACATCAGGAAGGTTGAGAGGGTGAAGACGAAAGTGCCGGCTTCCATTCGGATCTATCCAGACTCTTATTACCACCAATTTGGTGAAGGCCAACCTCGTCGGGGCAGAAGAGAGTAAGTGTTCCTCATCCCCATTCAGTTATGACTTTTAATATATGTGCCTTATCAAATGGTTTTTCTTCTTTGTAGTGACGGATGCCAGAGCTATGTCCGAGTCTTCTAAGAGACGGCTCACGCCTGGAAACAATGCTCGGCATCAGGGGCGCTAGCCGAAGGTCGGTGCTTCAGCCTAGAAAGTTGCGGCACCTTAGTTGTCGGAGTCTGAACTAGAGAATTAGACTCTAGGCGAGCGACTCAAGCAATTGGACAGCCATAATTGGAGGGTCGAAGAGCTAGCTACTGCCAAGGAAGCCTATTAGCAGGTCACCGGCAAGCGACCTGCTGTTATCGAGCTAGATGTGGCTTCGGTACTGAAGAAACCTTGGGTGCCGGACCATCTGAGGGTTGTCCTTGTTGCTGAGGACAACGACGATCTGGCTGTCGATTTTGTCACCATTGCATGTCCTCCAAAAATCGTCCAATTTGCAAAGTATATAATCGTTGGTTCGCA